GCACCCTGAGCCAGAATACTGCATATTTGAAGGTATATGAGTCCCATCTGGCCCTTGTTAGTGGTTCATTTTTATCACCAATTCTAGGCATCATCTGATTTTTCCAATATAGAGCAGCTACTTTCTTCCTTGTAAGTAAGATACCACTGATGAGTAGACACTTTATACTAATACCTGCTCCACATCAAAATATCCTCTCAGCTAGAGCATGCATTCATGATTCGTGTCTGCCGCCATCTTTACTAGATGTTTGCAAAAAAGGTAATTTTCAGTTCCTGTGCGCTCTTTACATTTATTGGTTGGTTCCTCGCCATGGTAATCTCCTATCTGTCTACCTATCTCTCTATCATCTATCTGTATGGATTCATGAATTCCTATTTTTCAGTAGTTTATAAATTATAAATAGTTAATAAAGAGTTTGTAATTGTGGTTAAGCTTCTTTGTGGTGCTCGGGTTGTGCCATATTTGGCGAGGGCAGCCCCCTCACACTGGCTCCTTGTGTGACGCTGACAAGCCCCATCATTTTTCAGAGTATTCCTTACTTTCTGGTCTAGGGAAGTGTTCCAGGCCAGCACTGCTCTTAGGTCCAGACAAGCTCCTGGGTCAGCATCTCAGGAGACTATGTGCTTGAGGAGCATCATCCTCATCATTTTCAAAGTCCTCCTCTGGCTTCACCAGGGACATCCATGTTGCCTGGCTGTGGTGTCCTATCTCATTCTCCCTCTAAAGAACTTTCCCATCTCTACAGTGATGAATCCTCTCAAAGAGAAATTAGGGAAACTACCCCATTCACAGTAGCCTCACAAAAATAAAATAAAATACTTGGGAATTGACTTAACAAAAGAGGTGAAAGACCTCTACAGTGAAAACTACAGAACACTAAAGAAAGAAATTGAATGAGAATTTAGAAGATGGAAATATCTCCCATGTTCTTGATAGGCAAAATTAATATTGTCAAAATGACCATACTACCCAAAGTGCTATACAGATTCAACATGATTCCAATTAAAATTCTAATGCCATTCCTTATAGAAATAGAAAAAGCAATCATTAAATTCATTTGGAAAAATGATGAATGGATGATGGATAAAGAATATGATGAATGGATGAAGAATAGCCAAAGCAGTCCTTAGCAAGAAGAGTGAAGCAGGGGGCATCACAATACCAGACCTTAAACTGTACTACAAAGCTACAGTGACCAAAATGGCATGGTACTGGCACCAAAATAGACATGTAGATCAATGGTATAGAAGATGCAGAGACAAAGCCATATAAATACAGTTATCTCATATGAGACAAAGGTGCCAAAAACATACAGTGGAGAAAAGATAGCCTCTTCAATAAATGGTGCTAGAAGAACTGGAAATCCATATGCAGCAAAATGAAAATAAATCCCTATCTCTCACCATGCACAAAACTCAACGCAAAGAGGATCAAGGACCTAGGAATTAGACCAGAGACCCTGCACCTAATAGAAGAAAAAGTAGGCCCAAATCTTCATCATGTGAGATTAGGCCCTGACTTCCTTAACAAGACTCCTATAGCACAAGAAATAAGATCAAGAATCAATAAATGGGATGGATTCAAACTAAAAATCTTCTTCTCAGCAAAAGAAACAATCAATGAGGTGAACAGAGAGCCTATGTTTTGGGAGCAATTTTTTGCCACATGCACATCAGGTAGAGCACTTATTTCCAGAATATATAAAGAACTAAAAAGACTTAACACCAGGGCTGGGGCTGTAGCTCAGTGGTAGAGTATTTGCCCCCCAAGTGTGAGGCACTGGGTTAAATCCTCAGCACCACATAAAAATAAATAAATAAAGGTATTGTGTCCAACTACAACTAAATATTAAAAAAAAAAAAAAACCTTAACACCAAAAATACAAACAACGCAATCAATAAATAGGAGCTGAACAGACACTTCTCAGAAGAAGATATATAATCGATGAACAAATAAATGAAAAAATGTTCAACATTTGAAATGCAAATCAAAACTACTCTAAGATTTCATCTTATGCCAGTCAGAATGGCAGCTATCAAGAATACAGACAACAAAAAATGAGCATGTGGGGGAAAAGACACACTCATACATTGTTAGTAGGACTATAAATTGGGGCAGCCAGTTTGGAAAAAGCAGTGTGGAGAGTCCCGGGAAAACTTGGAATGGAACCACCATTTGACCCAGCTATCCCCCTGCTCGGTCTATACTCAAAGTTCTTAAAATCAGTGTACTATAGTGACACAGCCACATCAATGTTCATAGCAGCTCAATTCACAGTAGCTAAACTATGGAAGCAACCTAAATGCCTTCAATAGATGAATGGATAAAGAAATTGTGGTATATATACACAATGGAATATTACTTGGCAATAAAAGAGAATATAATTATGGCATTTGCGGGTAAATGGATGGAAATGGAGAATATTATGCTAAGTAAAGTAAGACAATCCCCAAAAACCAAAGGCCAAGTGTTCTCTGATAAGTGGATGCTGATCCATAACAGGGAGTAAGGACGCATGGAAAAAATGGAGGAACTTTGATTGGACAAAGGGAAGGGAGAGTAGGGAGGGTGCATGGGAACAGGAAAGATGGAGGAATGAGATGGACATCATTACCGTAAGGTACATAGAAATATAAAGTTGTGCTGCAATTATGTACAATGAATCAAAATACATTCTGCTGTCATATATACCTAATTAAAAGTAATTAATTAATTAATTTTTAAAAAGAACTTTCCCAGCTCTAGTCTCCCCTCTCTTGAATCTTTCATTGAATCATTTCGGATGGTCTGACATGCTGATTTGGTGTGACTTTCATGTATTTGGACACAGGATGAGTTCAGAACTCTGGGCTGCCAACCGTCTACTAAAAGCCCTTGAACCAGAAGCCCAGGTGGTCCTGGGCATCGGCTCCTGCCCATGCATGTCTGATCTGTAGCTAATGGGCCTTGACTATCCCTGTTGAAGGTGTTTGAGATTTGCTCTGTACCCTGTCTATAAAGTCTGCTGGCCACATTGCAAAGTGTGAGAAACCAGTCTCAGAAGATCGCCCTGCTCCTGACACTAATTGCAAGGTCAGGGGATCCCCAAATCACACTCAGCTTGTCTAATTCAATAAGAGTGCTCATAGAACCTGCTGGAAGCTGTTATACTAACAGTTACCGTTAGTTGAAGGGCAGTGATGAAGGCTTTAATCCACCCAAAGTAGGGATGTGTAGGGCAGTGTCCAGGAGGGGTCCAAAGCAGAGTTCTAGTCAACCTCTCTCCACGGAGTCATGGCAGTACCTCCTGAATTGCCAACAAGGGGTGCTCGCCCTGACCCTTTGGTGATCCTCTGCAGTTTTTATTGGGCCTGCCTAGATGACTGATCTTGAGTTGCCAGCCCCTCCCACAGATCAGGCCAATGCCTATAATGTCCAGTTCCTCCAGAGGTCAGAACTGTACAGCATGTCCCAAAACACCCATCATAAGTGACATTGCTAGAGTGTCCCATGGCCAAAGGCCCCAGGCGAACCAAGATACTTCCACTGGGCAGGACTTTTTCAGGGGCCTGGAGATCACCTCTAAGTATCCAAGGACAAAGGCCACCTCTCAGTTTGGGTAAGGTCAATTCACCATTATACACTGCAGTGTCATTGAGCCGTTCCTCTCGTTATCTCTTGCCCTCCCAGTGAGTCTTGAGCTGTGACAGCAGAGAGATAAACATTTCTCCCACAAATGGGACTGCCCTTCTCACTCTACTCTGGAGTCCAACACGTCTCCTCCCTGTTCTCAAGTGGTGTGTGCAAGGCCAGGGGGGAGGGGCAGCCAAAAGAGGAAGAGCAGGTTTCGGGAATGCAGTGATTCAAGACAAGATACGGGGGAAGACACGTTCTTCTACATTTAGCCTGTAAAAGTCTGCTGGTAAATTTAATATGACCAGAAAATAAATTACAGTTTACTTTTACCTGCGCACTTGAGGCATTTATGAACATCATCCACAAAGCACAAGAACAACAATTGATTGAGTCATTGGAAGCCCCGTTCCCAGGAAGCTAAGAGATGAGGCAGCGTCATGAGTAAAGGTGCCGGGAACAGCAAAGGCAGGAAAAAAACTGTGTCATCTTGTATAAACCAGTTCTGAAGAGCCAGGGCATGGTGAGCAATCACAAGGTTGCTAGCTTTTCTCTCATGACCAGAGAGATGAATCTAGCCAGAACAACACTTTTGACAATAAAGAACGGGAAGAGGTGGTGTCTGGATACTAGGAAGCACTTTCATGGGTGCTGTTTGAACAATCAATGGACATAAGAAGTTCTTCTCTATCACTAAATCTACATATTTACTGATAAATCTTTGTAATTCATATGGTATCATGAGTTTTATAATGCAAATTTTAATCAAAAAAAATATTATCTAGATAGAGAACTTACAAAATTTATTTGCCTAGTCTCCCATGAACATAGAGGTAACCCCATGCCTGGCTAGTTCAGTCAGCTTTTTTGCCGCTATGACTAAAGGATCTGACCAGAACCACAATAGAGGAGGAAAAGTTCATTTGGGGGCTTACAGTTTCAGAGGTCTTGGTTCATAGAAGGCCAACTGCATTCCTCAGGGCTACAGATGTGGCTGAACATCATGGGGAGTATGTGGCAGAGGGAAGCAGCTCACATCATGGTGATCAAGAAGCAGAGAGTCCACTCACCAGATATATATATATCCCAAAGCCATGCCCCAATTCCCCCCTCTTCTGGCCACATTCCACCACTTCAGTTACCACTTAGTTAATCCCTATGAGGGGATTAATCGCTGATTAACACTCTTACAACTCAATCATTTCTCCTATGAATCTTCCTGCATTGACTCACACATGAGCTTTTGGGGGACACCTCATATTCAAACCATAACACTTGTCTCCACCCCAGCTCTGGAATCAGTCTTTCCACCATGGAGCCTGATTCGTGGTATCAGAGACTGAGTTCTGAATATGAGCTGAATTTAAAAAACACAAACTTTGAACCTGGGAGTTGTGGTTAATAGTCGTGGTCTTTTAACAGGTCACCATCTGTAGCGGATACTTGTCATTTGGGGTAACCCACATTCAGTCTTCTCTTCTTCCTAGTAATGCCCCGTCTTCCATGGGGTGTGTAGTTGGTGAGAGGTGGTGACTCCATCACCATGGAAACAAAAGTGTCCAGAATGCTCTTTGCCTTATTCCAACAGAGTCATGTGACTTAACCTCAGCCAACTGAATGTTTTCCTTTGGGAATTTAAACCCAAATGGGCCAGAATCTCGGGAACATAGATTACCAGAGGTGACCCCAGTGGCAATCACATGCAGTGGAATTTTTGCTTGTGGTCTGACCTCTAAACCACCTTGGTTTCTGACCATTTGCCAAGATTTACTTCATCATCTCTGCAGTGATCTTTTGGTATTTTCTGAAATTCTTGCAATAAATCTACCTTTTTTCTTTTTACATAAGGTGGTCCCTACTGGTTTCGTCTCTTGAAAACAGCGAATTCTGTCTAAATTACATATTATTTATTTCTGGTATGAGGGTTTGGTTTTAGTTGTTTGGCGGTAGCAAGAAAATTTCTATTCACTCAGTTAAGTTTTGCAAATGGTAATAATTGTAGCTTGTTTGGGGAATCTCAGGACACATTTAAGTCCTCCAGAAGCTTGAGAGTCGAGTTACAGGAAATTTCCATTTCCCAGTCAAAGCCTGTGGAGAAAGTAGCTAGCAGGGGCTCATAATCTTTAATTGGTGATTGTTTAATTTTGAGGGTGTTAATGAACAGCCTTCTAAGCCACTTGAAATTTTTTCTGTCTGTAGAAACAACTCTCCCAATATATTTTATAACATTATGACTATTCACTGGTGTAAATAAAAAGAAACTTGAAAATCTCACACTTAACTGAAAATTTCAAAGTAACCAAATTTATTTGTCAAAACAAGATAAGATTGTTTTGCCAAATAAATTTTACTTGCTTATTTAAAACAAAAACAAATTTTCAACAAAATAAAGGAATAAGCTATTTTATTTTCACCCCTGGTACATTGTCTGTATTTGCAAGCCTGGTAATGAAGAGACCGAGGTCTTCCAAAACAGGCTAGCCTGTGGAAGACACAGTCAACCTGCCGCTGCCTCTGTATGTTCAAACTAATTTCTTTCCCTTTGAAGTGGATGTGAGTGTACATTTTTACATTTCTAAAAACTAGTAAGAATTGTAAGAAGTATGAAAAAAAAAGTTATACGCTTCTATGTAGAATCATAAGGAAAGTCTGCTGGAACCCCCAGCTCTGTTGGGAAATGTCTTGTTCTGTCTACTTTTTAAGTTGGACTGTTCTAGGCTTGAAGTCCCACCTACTTAGTGTCCACTTGCTTAGGCTCAGCCTAGAGGGAGCTATCTTTACTCCATGTACCTAAAGCAAGGATTTCCCTCCTATGGCAGAAAAAGAGGCAAGATGTGCCATTCTCGGACTGTTTGCCATTTAGATTTATGATATATTTATTTTCATACGCACATGCCTTGTTTTCTCAAATTAAGCCCCTCAAAGGCATGAGCCAGGCCGTACACAAATTCCTGTCATTTGATCTGTGTTAAATTCCATTTCTGCCCTTCCGGCCACTTTTACCTTCTCGCTGCAGTGTTTCTCAGGCAGGTCACCTACTACTACTACCTTGCTAATTCTGTCATATCTTCATGCCGAATAAACTATTTTCACTAGACATTTTTTTTTTTCCTACAAAAGAACTCACTTTCTTATCTACACTGGTTTATTTTTCCATAAATGGAAAACCACTACTGTATGTCACACATGATGTAAATTCATAAACCATAACGACAACAACACTACTCTAGTCAGCTACTGAGACCTTTGAGCTTCCAGCCTAAGGGAATGGGGGAGATCAGCAAGAGCTAGAGAAATTTCACTTTAAATAATCAAAAGGATTTGGAAAGGTATTCCCTGTAAAAGGAATACCTCTCATTCTCACAACGGGATTCAAGGTCAAGTTATCCACGCCATCCAGACCAACCTTGATAGCATGCACACTAGACACCCTCTATGTAGAGAAGCGCCAGCAAGAGGTGAGCAGCTGGAACCTAGGAACTGCATCTGCACCCCGTGTTCTTGTTTGTCTGTCTCCACAACTCACTCTCCAAGCTCTTCTCCACTCTCCCTAACGTGGTGAGACCTCTCCCTTATGTGGTGAGACCATTCGAGGCCAACACCCTCCATTATCTGAGCCTCACCTTTTTTTTTTTTTTTAATCTATAAAATAAGAGAACCAGGTGCTTTTTCCAATTTCTTCCAGCCTGACTTTGCCAGAGCCATCATCACACTAAAATAAAGTCAGACAGGCACTCCTGTTGTCACCAGCTCTGCGGGCCCTTCAGCTCCTGCAGGATAGAAATCAAACATGACTAAAAGAGAGAGGACTAGAAAAAAAATCACCTATTGAATTGATTAGTCTAGCAAGGAGGCTCTACCCCACAGGCAGAGTAGCAGCAGAGGTAGCCAGACAACACAGTGACCACTCCAAGACAGTGGGGCATGGAGAGGGGTCTATCCCACAAGCAGAGTGGCAGGGAGAGGTAGCCACCCCATAGGCAGAGTGGCAAGGAAGTCCAGGGGTAAACAGCTTACATGCATTTGGGGGCAGACATTAACATATTCATAAGCAATGTTATAATCTCCTGTTGCACCTACACCAATTTGCACATTGTCTAAATGTTTACACGAATTTCTAAAAGTGCTTCAGATTGTGTCAGTTCTAGCCGGGTGTGGTGGCACACGCCTGTAATCCCAGTGGCTAGGGAGGCTGAGACAGGAGGATCCTAAGTTCAAAGCCAGCCTCAGCAAGGTGAGGTGCTAAGCAACTCAGTGAGATCCTGTCTCTAAATAAAAATACAAAATAAGGGGATGTGGCTCAGTGGTTGAGTGCCCCTGAGTTTAATCCACAGTACCCCCATTTCCTCCCAAAAAAACAAAAACAAAATTGTTTTAGTTCTTTTCCTGGGCATATCTTTTAACATGCAAATGCATTTAAATGAGGATCTCAGTTTGGTCAAGGGGTTGTGACCAGGCCTGGGGGCATTGTTGATATTTTCTTATTTCATCTTCGGTCTTGCACAGCGGATGTAGTCAGGGAGATCTTTCTACCATTCAGCTTATGCATAACTGTGCAATGCTTCCCTCAAACTGTCTTCATCTTGAACTATAACCGGTCCCTGCTAATCTATCCTGGCATGGAACACGCCGTGCCCTTCTGCTAACCATCATCAACTTCCAGCCCTACCCTCCTGCCTCTCTGCTCCTCACTCATCACCCAGCAACTGGGCACTATTTGTGCAATGCTCACTAAGTCACTCATCTTCCCCGCGAAGTGGGCGACACTATCCTCCCTTTACAAAGGACCGAAGATCTTTCTCTCTAGGAAGAGCCAAGAGCCCAGGAGCACAGGAGGTTTACACTTGGCTCTGTCCCCAGCATTTCCATTGTTCTCTTGAGTTCCAATCACTCCTGACATTCCACGGTTTATTTCCATAAAGGGAATGGAATCGTAGACAAGCTAAATATATTTTAGTATGTAATCCCAGTTTAAGGTAGCTAAAGAATGACTGAGCCATAAAATCATGCTGAAATCACCCAGAAATTATTTTAAATAAAACAGAATGTTAAGGCGTTCTAGAGTAAGTATTGAGATTGTCACTCTTGTCATTCTTTGGTTCTGAGAACTAATCCCGGGGTTGCTTTACCACTGAGCTGCATGCTTAGTCCTTTTAATTTTTATTTTGGGGTAAGATTTTGCTGAGTTGCTGAGGCTGGCCTTAAACTTGTGACTCTCCTGCCTTAGCCTCCAGAGTCACTGGGATTATTGACAGGCACCACCACACCCAGGAAACACTCTTAGTTTTGAGAAAAAAAAATTCAAGAATCAAATTTGTAGTTGCTCCTCTCCTGAAATCACTAAATAATACAAACCACAAATAGGAATTAAGATTTAGAAACTGACCTTTATAGGAATTTTAAGAAAAAAAAACCAAAACTTAAAACTTAGAGGCTTTAAATCAAAGTAAACAGGAAGCTGGGCTTGGCGGTGCATACCTGTAATTCCAGTCACTTGGGAGGCTGAGGCAGGAGGATTACAAGTTAAAGGACAACCTCAGCAACTTAATGAGGTCCTCAGCAATTTAGCAAGGCCCTGCCTCAAAATAAAAAATGAAAAGGCCTGGAGAAACGGCTTCAGGATAAAGTGCCCCTGTGTTCAATCCCTAGTACCCCTGCCAAAAACACGTAAATGGGAATTACTCATGGGAGAAAATATACCTTCCCCAACATGATCCATATTCATAAAGCTATTTCATATAATGGTATTTCTGAAGGAGAAGCTCACATTTCATACAGAACAATAATAGTGATAAGAATATTTGCCTGCAAATATATACTGGAAAATTGTTTATTCTCTGACAAAATATTAACAACACATAGGCCTACAGGCTTAGGTGAGTCATATTTCAACACTAAACATTTAGGCCAGGTCACCTGCTTAGTCACTGATTCTCCCCCAGAAGTGACTATTGTCACTAGCAAGGGAACTGTACAGAATTTAGAGACAAACTACATCCTAGGAACGTTGTGTTTCCAGTAAACACAAAGCTCTGGAGTTCTGCTGAGGAGCTAAGCAGGTCTCTCTGAGGCCATTTCTACCATTATAGGAACCTAGAATCCAGGTTTGTACTGATGACACATGTTACACAAGAGCAGAGGGTATAATTGTGTCTTAGGAAAATGTGTCTATTGCAGGAACAGGTTCAGATCCACCCAAGAAATGAAGCTGTCAGTCTCCGGTGCCTAGAGACCCAGTCTTCCCAATAGACTAGAACCGGAGAGCCCAGGAATTACATATGCACTTCCTCTGCTCTGGAGGAAAGCTATGCAAACTAAGCACAGCTTCACTCATTCACTTTTGCCAGCTCTGGGGAGAAATTTCCCTGACCAGTCGGCACAAACAGGGTTTGCTAGGCAAAATGATTAGAGGAATATCACCGAGGAAGGAGAAAGAGAGCAGAAATATCAAGTACTAGAGAGAAGCAACCTTTAACCACTTTACCGTTTTCAAGGGGCTGGGGGTGTGGCTCAGTGGTAGAATG